GAACTTGTTTTGTACCTGGTATTTCTCAAGATGCTGCCAGCAGTCGACGAAAAGTCTGCCGAATCCGGCGTGACTGTCATCACAGATAGTGGATCGTTTCGACGTGACAGGGCCGAGGTAAGTATATCCACTTTGGAGATGTTTAGGCCAGGAATTTTTCAGCTTTATACAGGGGATACCAGGGATGTGCAACCATGCTAAGCTGTAAAACAGCTGCATAATTTGGTGCACACCTGTATTTTTATCTTAAATAGTTTAAAGAACGACGATGCTTAGGTCTGAAAATTTTGCAATGATTAAATAGGATTTTGTAAGTTAATTTAACTAAAAGCATCGGGATTCTCTTTATATAAAAATGATATGTTAACTTTATAAAGGTGCACTTTTTAAATTTTATACTGGTAAACTATGGGAAAACGAACAGTGTTATTTTCTGTGTTTAAATTGTCATGAATCTCAGTCATAAATACATAGATGTTCTGGAATCTTTACATTTGTCAGTTTCGTTTTCAACCTGTTGTGCAGACATTGTATAAAAATCATTATATTATAAAGGCTTTACAGATCATCACCTTCTTTTAAATGTACGTATTGCTAATGAAATACGGCACAAAGGAGAGGACATTTGGAAAGCCAATTAATGTCTGATTAATTTTATCTTCATATATTTCAGATCAAGGCGTCGTACAAGAAGTACATCATTGTTGCTGTTGCTGTCGTTGTTGTTGTTGCTGTTGCTATCGGTGGAATATTGGGGGCAGTTCACATCTCTAACAAGGCAGCACAAGATGTGTGGAAGGTGGGTATACTATATCGCTATAGTAAGGTAAAATTGAATATTTTGAAATTATATTGATTAACCTAGCTGACACAGGCAGAGAAGATAATTGCGAGCACGTGTATGGATAATCTCAATGGCAAGGCTCGCGAATTTTTCTGTTTCTTTTTAAGCTTATCGGGAACGCTATATGCCAATATACCCCCATCGCCTTATATGGTTTTCCAGTGGCATTGCTTTTTTTTCAGGAGTACCATCTCCGTTTAACCGACAAACAAGGGAAAAAAGTTGAAGAAAAGGTTCAGGTTGATCTGAAGGACAACATCACCGTGTACAACGTGAACAACGAGAAGTTCCACGTTGCCATGGACAACTCGAGAGTGAGTGGAATTTTAAACTGAATTTAGAAAAATAATAAACAACGACTTGTTTTACTTGTACTATGTCAAAAGGTAAACCTCGTTTAGACCACCTTAGCTGAGGTGTACAGGATTTACTGAATTCAATGTGGTGACATTTCTAGATTTATGTGTCAAGTCTTTTTAGTTTTTGTATTTTAGATGCTAAAAAAATAAACAACTCACTAAATTAGCAAAATGGGTTGACAATCGGAGACTTAATGTATTGTATTTATCATCTTTAACATACTAGGTATAACCACCATAGCAGCTAAAAAATTGGTCGGTCTTTTTTGTGGGGTCTGGGGGTAGCGGGGGTGGTGGAAATGTTAAACCAACTGTTTGAACGACACTGTTGGGATGCTACACTAAAAACCATTCTACAGAGAAGAACTAAGCTGGGCTCTTGGCGTGGAGTGTATCCCCTGGGATACATCAACAAACAGGCTGAGTTAGCACTTTAAAGGATATATATGATGTCACCGGATTCGTGGCAGCTACATTAATTACTAACTCTGATGAAATGCCTAGTGGCCTAGCATTACTTTGAATGGCTCTGGTATTCTCTCCAGTTTACTGGCTCATTCACTTGAACATGACATTTACTTTTCCAACAAATTGCTGACAAATTTATGACAGATCGCCAGAAAGAACCAAACAAAAACATAATTTACTGTAATTTGAAGGTAGAACATGAAAATATAATAAAGCACTGCCGAGCTAGTTGAACTTATTAGAATTACAGAGATGCAATATTTTGTGGGAATATTCCATCGTTTTTAACAAAAGTGAATTGTCCCGTTGGTTTCCTTTCAGAGTCTGGTAGTATACAAGATGGAAATGAATGACAAGTTTGCTTGTTACTTGACTCCAATGAACAAATCTGAAGAGACTGACAGCAAGGACGTGGCCAACGCTTTGGAACAACCGGTATGATTTACTTCATATTAATTCGGACTTTGAATCTGTGTTTATATCTTTACATACACAATGCTTTTAATTGTGTTTAAAGATATAAAGTGGCATTTAAACATGTGCAAGATATATGAATAAAACCGTAACCTAACCTATACCATCATGCTTTTAGAACACCGTCGAAAATACGACAAATGAAGATAATGAACAAAAACAATTCGTTGCCAACACCTCCCCGATCAAGAACAAGTCCTTCCTAAGTCCCAGGATGAAGGAATTTTGCAGGAATCTGGAGGCATACTGGTTAACTCAGAAGGACGGCAACACTGTAGATGGCGCCAGCACCCAAACCCCTGCAGGTACGCACGATATAAATATCTGATGCTAACTATTACCCGATACAATACTTACAACTATGACCGTGCAGTAAATTCACTTTTTACCTTATACATGTAGAATCTACAAGGCATTAAGAACATTACCCACCGTTTCGATTATATTATATTATATTATATTATATTATATTATATTATATTATATTTCAGGAGGTGAACGCCAGAAGCGAGCTTGCTACCGGATACGCTACATATGCCGGGTTCGAATAAGGATATGCATTAGGGTCAGGATCGGTTTTCGGTGGTATTGCCGATATAGGTATACATACGTTTTTAGATACTGTTATAGGTACAGATGCTTTGGTAAATAAACGTTGCTGCGAAGCATTTGTTTATCTCAAAGATTATTGCAAAGCGTGATAAGTCAGCATTAAAAACTTCCCGCGGCCGTGTGTATCCAAGTATATTTTCAGAACCATAAATGAAAGAGGATTAATCCACCGTTACATGAGTTTATATGATATAGGAACCACATGGTGCTAGCACAGAATGACGTTTCAGATAAGTACCCGCCCGAGTTCTCAATCCCAGTTTTGTTTTGTTTTGTTTTTCAATAATACCCATGTATGCATTTTTTGTGTGCAAACTGTCATAACAACAACAGCGAAATCAGTATCCCAGATAATTGAAAGTTATGCATCATTTAGTTATTCTTCTATTAGCAGAGCTTCTATAACTATTTGTTTGTAATCGAAAAGATTAAGCAGGGTCTGACATTTTTGGTGAAATGTTCTTTTTTGGATTTGTATCTTTTTACGGAATCAAAAAACAAATATGCTAAAAATCGGCGTAAAACGTTTTTCATTGCCTCTGATATGATGGTTAAAAAAAGTAAATGGTAAAAATGGTACTAGTGCAGAATGGTGTTTAAGAAAATCCCTTTCGCAGTTCTTAATCAGGGCCCCTGTTTTGTTATTAATAAGTTTCACGTATGCATTTTGTATGATTACTCTTATGTCGGCAACAGTTAAAATTATTATCCTAGGTTATTGTTAGTTATAGATCTTTTAGCTGTGATTCCTTTGCCTTGTTGTTTGCTTTGTATTCGAAAAATGAATAAAAGTCACTGCCTGACCTTTTGCTAAGTTGTTATCATTGTTTTTAATGGATTTTATTTATTTACAAAAAGCGTATATGTAACTCAGCGATGTTAGAACCCTGTAATGGTAGTTCAAAAATCACGATTTCGAAAGAGATAAAATGTGTTTTCGACGTATGAGGCGTTACTTTCAACCCTTCGTTACACTTGACTGCATGCCATTTTGGCAGTCTTTACGTCTTTATTTGGGGTGTAAAATTGAACCACTAACATATTTTTCCTCCTTTTTGCCGTGTTCATAGAGGTTTAAATTACCTAAGGAATGGCACTTTATTGATGAGATACATTAAATTCATTAAAAGTCTTTTTTATTCATTCGTTTTTTACTAGTCCCTGTAAAAACTACACAATATGTGAATATCAGCAAGTTTCTTGACTTATGGGGTATTCTCGCTGGATGAGTTGAGGAGGAAGGTGTCCAAAACAGCACAAGATTTATGAAAAGTTAAAATTATGGAAGGGCCTTCGGTTTTCGTTTTAAATTCCCCTATATGGATGACGCCCTGTTATGGCTTTTCCGAATTGGCCAACTTTTAAGAATATTTACTTAAGACAGTTACTTTAAAGTCACTCAAGGAAAGCTAGCCCAAGGCAGAGAAAAATGACCAATTCCAAAATATGAATTTATGGCTTTGTTACCAAAATGTATTTTTTCTCGTTGTTATGATTCAATTTCTTTGAGTATTAAATAAAACAAATTACTATCAAGGTGTTACTCCTTTAGCTTACAACAAAAATCGATACTGCTTATTTGATTAAATCTGAATTTAATCATTGTTACAGATACGGAAGGTTACATGTCAGTCATAGGTTTTTAGTTAATTTTAATTAATGACCTTTACTTACCGTGGCGCATATATCTAACAATATTCCACCCACAGACGATAACGGACTACTTAGTATCTTTTGAGTGTCAGAGGTCATTTCCGGTCAATTACATGTACAATTCACCTTCACAAAAGATAATGGAATATTGAACGAACTAGATACTTTATTATGTTATGGCACATACCCATTAACATACATCATTTCCATGGCTTTCACAATGGCTATCGAACCATTTGAATGTTATGAAGTAGAACAAAGCGTGAGAGCACTGTGTATTAGGCGGTTATATGAAGACTATAGCATATCCTGAAGTTGTCATGTTGGTAGTAATAATAATAAAAAAAACGTGTAACCCTCCACTACATAAAGAATCTGTCTGACAAATTAAAAAAAAGTGACAGTTCATAAACCATTCTCTACCCTTAGATGCCAATTAGCTAGTCAATGCGAAGGACATGCAAGATAATGACTACAAAAAAGTTTTCAAACGTTGTAAACGATGTAAGGTAAAAAATAAAACAGTGAATGCAAAGATATATATATGTGCTTGTGGGGGGGGGGGGGCAAAACTGTTTATAAAAATCACTGGACTCCCTAGTACAGGTGATACATGTGACTTTGCTGTATTTACCTGCAATCTGTATTAAAACTATATAGTCACTCATGTGGTACTAAGACGTTGTGTGATCTTTGCCAAAGAGGAGTGGTTCAGGCGTCGAATAAAAAAGACCTTTAATGAGCGATTGAACAGCCTACCCTCAACAAGCATTGTAGCCTAGATACGAACTACATGTACCATAACTGTGGGACCAGCTGTAAAGCATGGACATTATAAGAGAGGTCCAAGTGTAAAGTGAGCTACACGTACGAGTATACACGGTTTTATTTCTCCCGCGAGTTGAAATGATTTTATTAAAATGAACTGTTTGTTTTTATATGCAATCACGAAAATCACGATTGGTTTTTATACTCGACGTTCTTTTATCGCATTTTTTTAGGTTGCTAGTTGCCGAGAAGATTTAGCTTTCCTGGTTCCAACGCTTTACGTTTCCCCTTGAACATGGCGGTCTCAGACCAGTCCCTTGATTGAAGGAATGGTGTGGGGCGTTTTTGTCCTACGTCCGGCACTTGCGAACTTTTTAATGCCAATGCAATATATAAGCACAGGAAATTCACTGCCTTTTGCAGTGTATCTTAATTGTAATCGGCATATTTTATCCTATCCTTCACAAAGTTTCATATTCATTTTTGATTGTTGAAGGTAACTTGGTAAGGAGAAGAAAAGAAGAAATAAAAAGAAAAAAGAAAAAAAAACGCTGATACCTTTTTACACCATTTTTGGAGAGCGGATGGGGTACATTTAAAAAAGATCAACCCTCATGAATCTTCTCCACATTTTTAAGCACGATCGCTTAATGACTTGAGATCTTTAAAATATCGTAAACACAACGTTTAATTTTAAATTCAAATACCTTTTGTTTTGATAATTGTCCCTTTTCATAACATGCACATTTTTCCCGTATGTTTTGTTGTCAGGTAACAGATAAAAATAGGTTTCTTCTTGGAAGACATTTTTCCTCCAGTCCATAAATCAAAAATGTATGGCGAATTTATAATAAGATCTCGGCTATAAAAAAGACTGCAAAGTACACAAATTAGACGGCGAACTCAATCGTTCTGATAAAGTACGAATACTTGCTCCGCTTCTTGCTAGACAAATTTTTGATATACTTTCATGATGCTGCCAACTGTAAGTGAAAAGTCTGCCGAATCCGGCATGACAGTCATCACAGATGGTGGGTCCTCTCGACGTGACAGCGCCGAAGTAAGTGTTTCTACTTTGAAAATGTTAAGACCAGGAATTTTTAGCCTTATACAGGGGGTAACAGGGGTGTGCAACCATATTAAGCTGTAAAGGCTAGAAATTGAAATTACTTTTCGAAAGGCCATTCCATACTAAAACAAATATCAACTTTAGGTCATGTCAATTGCACAAACATATCGTGTAATATTTTCATTATTTTGAATTGCCTTAATTTTTTATTATTATTTTTTAACTTTGGGTCTGTTCTTTGGGTTCCATTATCCTTAAATTCGGTACATTTCAGATCAAGGCGTCGTACAAGAAGTACATCATTGTTGCTATTGCTGTCATTGTTGTTGTTGCTGTTGCTGTCGGTGGAACACTGGGAGCAGTTCACATGTCTAACAAAGATGTGTGGAAGGTGGGTCTACTATATTACAACAGTAAAGAAAAAGAGAGTTAATATTATTATTATTATTATTATTATTATTATTATTATTATTATTATTGTCGTAAAGATGTTCTAAAATTATACTGATTATTAAATGAAACAATCAGATCACTGGAGAAAAAGGTTAGAATTATTACGCATAAAGGATATCAGTTGTAAAGCAATAAGTATAGATCTGCTTTTAAAGAAAATCAATGGGACTTAACGCAAAAATATTTTCAATGAAAGCAAAAGTTCTCATCATCAACATCGCTATAAAATATCTCTTTAGGAGTACCATCTCCGTTTAACTGACAAGCAAGGGAAGAAAGTTGACGAAAATGTCCAGGTTGATCTGAAGGACAACATCACCGTGTACAACGTGAACAACGAAAAGTTTCACGTCGCCATGGACAACTCTAGAGTGAGTAGAGGTTTTAACTGAATTTAGAAAATTATTAATAAAAACGATCAACCCATGGTTTAGCTGCTGTGGTCGTTACACCTAGTATGATAAAGATGATACATATAATACATTAAGTCTCCGCTTGTCAACCCACTTTGCTAATTTAGTGAGTTGCTTAATATATAAGCATCTAAAATACAAAAATTAAAAAGACTTGAAACATAAATCTAGAAATGTCACCACATTGAATTCAGTAAATTCTATATATCTCAGCTTAGGTGTTCTAAACTATAATTACCTTTTGACACAGTACAAGTAAAACAAGCCGTTGTTGTTTACTAATTTACATTGTTGATTAGAAATGTTAAATACCCTGTTAGGACACTGTTGGGATGGCTACATGTAAAAACCATTCTACAGAGAAGAGTTGAATTAGGCTCTTGGCGTGGAGTGGATTAACCTCAGCCTGGGACACATCAACAAACAGGCTGAGTTAGTACCGTAAAGGACATATGGTGTCACCGGCTTCGGGGCAGCTACATTAATTACTAACTCTGTGATGAAGTGCCTAGTGGCAACGCATTACTTTTGGATGGCTCATTCACTTGAACAATGCATTTGCTTTGCCTACAAATTGTTGACATATTTATGGCAGATCCCCAGAAGGGACCTAAACAAAAAAAAATTATGTACCTTAATTTCAAGGAAAAACATGAAAATATGATAAAGCACTGCCGAGCTAGTTGAATTGTACATTATATCTAAGTAGAACTTATTAGAATCGTAGAGATGTAATATTTTGTGGGAATATTCCATCATATTTAACAAAAGTGAATTGCCCCTTTGATTTCAAGAGTCTGGTAGTATACAAGATGGAAATGAACAACAAGTTTGCTTGTTACTTGACTCCAATGAAGAAATATGAAGAGACTGACAGCAAGGACGTGGTCAATGCTTT